CAACATTGTACAAGAGCTTGCCCAAAATAAGAACAGCAGTGTCACGCGATCAGTTCGACGTGCAAGAACCGGCACATGGGGTGCATCACTGCTGCTGTAGATGAGAAAAAGTCCCATCAACACGCGGCGACTGCAAGAGATAATAGAATTGCATACTCAAGGGGGTATGGTCCCAATATTGATCCAGAGGGAACGGGGACCCCAACATTTTTTTATCTGGAGGGAGGTGGGTGGGAATGGGACGGGAATCCCACAGAGAAATAAGCCCCGTCCCATCCCATCCCACCGCCATGAATTCCTACCCCGCACTTGCTACCCACATCTCCGACATAGCATCGCTTCCGTCCCACTTTCTAATCGCGGAACTAGACCATCCGGCTAGTCAGCGCTGACTAGCCGGATGGTCTAGTTCCGCGATTAAAAGATATGCGCTGAGCTCGTTAGCACCCGGCCGGATCACATGGGCTTGAGGCTGTTAGAAGCTTAATCACTGGGATTGAGCGTAGAGATCTCCGGGGACGGACCCCTCGCCAGACGTTGCTGTTTGGTAAACAAATGGCGGTTCTTGTGTAAGTGGACCACAGGGATTCGAACCCGTGCGTGGAACCTTGTGTAAGAAAGCTCTGACCATTAGACCACCGAGTCAACGTTGACTTACCGGATGGTCTAGTTCCGCGATTACTTTCGACGCGATCACTCCCGTCCCCGTGCCCATGGTAGGCACCCTGCTTCCCATTGTAAGATATTCCGATTGAATGTCATAGTACTGTAGGAAGGTGAGATTGCAGTAGACGTTAGATAAGGGGTTCATTTTGTTGTTTTTCGATACTTTTTGGGGGGGTGGGCGTTTTGAGTGACTCCGGGGCCGGGGGTGGTGTACGCCCTGTGTGATGCAACGTGTTAATTTCCCAGCTGTTTCCCCCTCCCCCTATATACTAGTACACACGATAGTCCCATCCCATTCCATCCCGTCTCGGTTTTGTGGACTGACATACGGTCCCCATAGTAGTCTGGGGCCATACAAGCAAGAAGAATACATTACGTGCCCCAAGTTGCGATTCCGTCCCAAGCCTCGGGTGGCCGCGTTTCCACGTCACAACAGTCACATAAATAGAGTCGCGCTGCGACTTTTTTGTGCTTGATTCTCTCAACCGAAACTCCATGAACTATACTGCCGAGTGAAAAGTATTCGTCTGATCGTTGGCACTCTTGTTTGCTACTTCCTCTCTCTCTCTGCTGCCCCTGGTCTCTGCCCCCTTAGCCTGGTTTCCGCGCGATGTCCACGTCTTCATCTTCTTCTCTCACCAAAGACCAGCTTCTGGAAGTTGTTACTGCAGCTTCTACCGCCTGGAAGAACGCCTTCAACTCACAGGATGCCGCCGGATGTGCTGCCCAGTACGAAGCGAATGCTTTGATGGTCGCCAAGCCGTTCGGAACGTTCACAGGCGCCAGCGAGATTCAAGGCTTTTGGCAAAAGTTGATGGACGACGGATTTTCTGACGTTGAATATGTGGCTCCCACCGTCCTCACGCCTGCGGATGACATGAAGTCGGTCACTCTATCCAGCAACTGGACGATGAACAAGGCCAAAGGTGTTATTACCAAGGAACTCTGGGCGATCCAAGAAGATGGAACAGCAAAACTCGCCGAGGATCATTTTGAAGCGACAGAGTAATAGTGACAAAGTGCATGCCAAAAAGAGAAGTCACCAGTTGAGAAAGAGATCAAAGTAAATATTCTACTGTAGTTTGAGTGAGAAGGGAACTACCTTAGACACGTTCACGTGTAGGATGTCAGCTAATTACGCAGTCGTACTATGGCATTGGGCGCAGGCAGTAGCACTCGAGTTGCCAACGGCTGGGTGGTCTTGGGCGCATTTCTCTTGACGAAAACGAGTCAAAGCGCGAAGAAGTGGGGGGATCTGCCATGCTTCTTGGGTATACGGAACGTTTCGGCTATTAGGGAATGGATGGCGATGGCTTGTCTGTCTCTCAGCGAAACAAGCATAGTTTTACATACATGTAGGCTAGTGTCTTTATTGCGTGTCTCCGGTGATTTCTTGTTTCCGTTGTCGCACATGAGGGAGGCAGCACGCCTTGGCGCCTTGGCAGCGCTAGCAAGACCGTAGACCTGCGTTGATGTCAAGTCTTGTAGTTGGTCGTCGGTTGGGACCTTTCGGGCAGTGAGGAGATGGTCGAGAGCCCAGACACAATAAGAAACGGCTTTCGCTTATTCTGCGATGGATGGATGGTGGTGGATTTTCTGATTTTCTCTCAGCACAAGTAGCGTCAATTGGTGGCCACACTACTCCAGTGATTGGCTGGGTGAAGTCATCCAGTATCTCTAGCTCTTGTAGGGAGGCCGGCCACACGAATCCCACGATGGGCTTGTTGAAGCTGCAACCAAACGTTAGCTGCTGCAGCGACATCGGCTACACAACTCCGGCGACGGACTGGTTGAGCGAACGCCCGAGCAATAGCTTCTGCAGATAGGCCGGCCACACCACTCCGGTGATGAATCGGTTGAACATAAGCCCCAACGATAGCTGCTGCAGCGAGTCCGGCCACTCAACTCCGACGATGGACTGGTTGAAATTCTCGCGGAATGACAACTGTTGAAGAAAGGCTGACCAAACGACTCCGGCGACACAGTGCAGCCTACAGGCGAAATCAAAATGTTCTGGGGTCTGTATGGCACACAGGTGGTGTCGTCGTGGGAGTATACTGCTTAGACTAAAGTGTAGTACATCTTTCCGGTGTCCCGAAAAGTGTCCCCCAGTTGAATATGAACGAACAGGTTACGCACGTGGGAGGGAAAACTGCGGGTAAAATTGGGGGGGAGAAGGGCAGCCGACAGCAGCACGAGAAGCGGGGCGCAGCGGTTCATGGCGATAACAAGTGCTTCCAAGCAGCCCATCACCAGCAGGCCAGGGACCGACAAGCATAGAATCGACCCAGACGTCGAACATCAACACTGCGAAACGATTGGTAAACCTTTTCCTCTTTCGTGATGGCCTAGACTATTCAGGAAAGTCTTCATCGGGATTTTCTCGCTGACAAGGATTGGGCAGAGCTTGCTCGAAGGCGATCACCCCGTTAAGTCAGACGCATATTCGCATTGCCTGTTCAACACGTGTTTGATGTGTAGTGCTCTTCTCCTTACATGTGGCAACGGTTTTCAGCCAGCACGGTTCCCCCCAAAAAATCTCTAAATAAAGTGGTGCCTCCCTTCTGCTACGTGTCTTGTAGTCGCCATACCATCAGAAATGCCGCTTCTTTTCGCTAGGCACTACAGTATGGTACGGTCCATCGAGCTATTCGGTTGGATAGGGCGTTCAAAGAGAGACTGGTTATTGTGGTGACAGCTTGAGCTATTAATTAACGGGGTGCTCTACGTAAAATAAGTTTGTTTGTTGACGTTGAGGACGAACTACAGTATGTACTGCTCCTCCCCATGACCTCCCCATATGCGTGCGATGGTTTGCACTCCTAATGTCTGTGGTGTTTGTTGCTCCCTCCCTCCCTCCCTCGCTCCCTCTCTCTCTCTCTCTCTCTCTCTCTCTCTCTCTCTCTCTCTCTCTCTCTCTCTCTCCAATCTGCTGCTGCCCATCCTCTTGTGTGAAGTGCCCCCCCCTCCCATCACTCTCCTTCTTCTCACCCCCCCATCTCATACTAACTCAATCTCTTTCTCCATTTACCACCCACTATTATTC